AGGCCAAGAAAATAAGGTTTGTAAATTGAAAAGATCTATTTATGGCCTGAAGCAATCTTCAAGGCAATGGTATTTGAGATTTCACAAAGAGGTGATCTCATATGATTTCACCATGATCAATGAAGACCATTGCATTTATGTGAAGAAGTCCTGGGATGTTTGTAATTCTTTCTCTTTATGTGGACGATATTTTATTGGCTGGAAACAATTTAGAGTATTTGAAAACTATCAAGTCATGGCTTTCAAATTCATTTGACATGAAAGATATGGGCGAGGCAGACTATATCCTTGGAGTTAAGATCCAAAGAGGCCGTTCCAAAAGGTTATTGAGTCTATCTCAAGAAACTTATATAAAGAAAATTTTGGAGCGTTTTCGCATGAATGGTTGTAAATCCATGGATACTCCTATAGCGAGAGGTGAAAGTTTAAGCCTTGAAATGTGTCCCAAGACTGAAAATGAAAAGGAAGACATGTCTCGAGTTCCGTATTCAAGTGTTGTCGGGAGCTTGATGTACGCTATGATGTGTACTCGCCCAGACATTTGTTATGCCGTAGGTCTGGTTAGCAGGTATCAATCCAATCCTAGAAGAGATCATTGGAAAGTTGGAAGAGAATTTTCAGATACCTGAAGGGAACTGCAGATTATTCACTATGTTATAGTGGAAATGATTTATACTTGAGAGGATATACAGATGCGGTTTGGGTTGGCGATCGGAATGATAGAAAGTCAACATCCGGTTATGCCTTCTTACTTAATGGTGGTGCTATATCATGGAAAAGTAAGAAACAAACCCTTACAACCCTTTCAACAATGGAAGCTGAGTTCGTGGCTTGTGCATCTGCAGTACAAGAAGTTGTTTGGTTGAAGAGATTCTTTGAGCATTTGGATATTACAAAGAACTCTCAAGGTCCCATGACTCTATATTGTGATAGTCAAGCGGCTATTGCATATACAAAAGATCCTAAGTATCACAGCAAGACCAACCACATTGATATCAAGTATAACTTTGTAAGAGACATGGTAGCAAGTGGAGAGATAAACTTACAATACATTCCTACGCGAAGCATGATAGCTGATCCTTTTGCAAAGGCGATATCTAGAGACCTGTTTGAGAAACATGTTATGGCTCTAGGTTTGCGAAGGATATGAACATATTTATGTATTGTAAAATGACTTAAGAATTATAATATGTTCATCAATATTTGACTCTTGAATTATGCTTACACCTCGTATGTATGTGATGATGTTTTGTTGATAAAGTGTGTCGAACAAGTCGCGATATTGACTCTCTCACACGAGCAATCGCCTCTTACATTAAGAATCTTGAAGAGATGAGACCTTATGTAACCTTGGATAATGTGAGCTTATATTTACTTGTAGAGGTCGGTCTTGACAACTAATCAGACATACAAATTTCACTATTCGATTATGACTTGTTTTGTAAGCCAGATGGATGTTTCTCTAAGAAGATGGTTTGAGGATTATTGAAGTGAAAAACTCGGGTTAGACATTTGGAGGTGTCTAGACCAAGATCTGTACGGTGTTGAACGATTAAAAGAATTAGGCACGTGCGCCAATATAAGGTGAGAACACCGTAACATGTGTTTCATACCACGTGTGCTATCGACCAGGGGATAGTGGAAGAATGAATCCTTGCTTCTTCATTGTGTGAGATCCCAAAGAAGTTATATCAACTTTTATTAGAATACCCTTTGACCTTTTACTGTATCTTGAAGTGTCAATCAGTGTTGCTACTTTAGCATGTCACTAATAGCCATGAGTGATTCGGCAATGCAGTGCATGTCTAGGAAAGCAGTTGATTTGGAATGGAAAGATTCGAGTAGAAAGGGAAGATGACTAAAATTTAGTAATTTAACCTGTATTCATAGGTCGACCATTACACTTACCATGAGGGTATTGGGTGTAATTGTGGATACAAAGTTAAAGATGAACTCGAGTTCGCCTCTTTTTCGAGGATGAGGGATCGGATAACCAGCCACTAGAATAGCCAACAATGTCTGGGGTATTGCGAGTAATAATAAGATCCTCATGGTAGTAGTGAATCCTTTCCGCATGTGATTGGATTTCTACATAGAGCTATTAAACAACCTTAAAGGGTGTAAGAGGTTTGGATCGCGGGTCGCCCATATAGACTGAACCTACCTATTTAAAGGAGATAAAACCTAAAGAGGTTACCTAGGGAGGTTAAAACACAGATAAAATAAAATAAAAACTGCTGCACGTTAGAGAGAGAAGGGGAACGTGGGATTGAATGTGAGCGGGCAGTTTTTTCCTCTCTTGAAACTCCTCCCTCTCCTTTATATATATCTTTCTTCTTCAACAGAGAAAGATAGAAGTCTTGAAGTAATTCTTTCTCAAGAAAACACACTGTAAAAAGGTATTTAGATCGTGAACAAAAACTCTGTTTCCTGGAGATTCAGAATAAGATTTGGGGCAATTCCTTAGGTGGTGAGTTCAACAGTTTCCGCTGCGTCAATAACACAACTTGTTGTTCTCGCCCCGTGTTTATTAATCTAACAGATGTGTTATCGATTACCTTGACTAATATATTAATCCTGCTTGAAGTCTATAGTTGCTGCATTAAGCAGATGATCGAATAGGCATTAAATTATGAATAACACAGTTGTTCTCAAGGAAAATTCATTTTTGTCGCCTGCCTCTCCCAACATCACATATTCATGAAGCTTTTGAGATCTTGCTACTCCACATAAGATCTCAAATCACCACAAGATCGAATTTTTTAAATGGATAAGAACTTAGAATGATATTTTATTGGCATCAAATACCACCTTCTACAGGTTCTAATTCTTTAAAATTGTAATTTAAAAAATCATATAATACTGAACAAGATATAACTAATTTTACTTTCTTGTATGTCTTACATATGTCAAAGATGATTACTTTCGCTATGTTATTATCTTATTGCTCTTATCATTGACATATTCATGATTTGAGTTCTCTGTTGTAGCATAGGTATTTGTTGCGAGCACTACAGTTCAAACTTGATGTGCAGTATATATCTCAGGGACTTAAAGTGGTTGAACCTGATGTTATAGTAGTTCATTTGGATGTTAGCAGTTTAGATGATGGTTGTTAGAGTGACACTAGAAGGAATTCAAATATTTTCAGTTTTGATTTTTGAAATGTCCTCTTGTAATTTGGTTGTGGATTTTTATAATATGTACTAGATATTCTAGGGTGCATTAGATATGTCCGGGAAGTTAATATGTTACTATGTATTTGGTTCACATTTCCCTGGAGCCCTTAGTAAAAATTATGTCAAAATTGGTACACCCAAAACAGTAACGATACTAGCATAACTATGTACACAAAGCCTTTGGTTTTGACTTAAGAAGCACCTATAGAGGAACAGAGAAACCGATCAGTTGGCTCCTCTTTGGAACATTGTGTTAGGATCAAATCAGACGGTAAAAGTGAAATATACCAAAAAGACATAAACATTTAACGTGGTTTGGTCAACTGAACTCATCCACTATATAAAAAAGAAAAAAAAAATATCGAGAGAATATCCTACAAAGAGGCACACACAAGTGACAGGATAACTCTTGCTTAATCATTCTCCCCTCTAAACAAGATTCTCAAACCCCTTATGGCAACATTATGAAAAGGAATGTTCCTCTATTTATAGAAGTACACAAAATTTTTTGTAACGAGCCGACCATCTGTTTTGTATAGGTGAGTCTCATTTCCATATTTGATACTTTCCATATGTGTGTTTGAAGTTTTGTGACTTGTGGGGGTGGTTGGTTTGGTTTCAGGAAGGTTTGAGAGTGAATTGAGACACTTAGTCTCATTTTGGAAGCTTAAGTTGTAAGAGTTGATCAAGGTTTGACTTTTGTGTAAACGACCTCAAATTGGCGTTAAACACTAGTTCCAATAGGTTTGTATGGTAATTTTTTGGATTTAGGTGTATATTCGAATTTGGATTTAGAGGTTCCTAGGATATTTTGGTGCTATTTGCCAAAAGTTGGCTATTTGGAGGTTTGAAGAGTTTTTAAGTTTGACTGAGGGTTGACTCTGAGGTTATCGGATTCGGATTGTTGTTCCAAAAGTTGGGATAGGTTCATTTTGTCATTTGGTATTAGTGTGCAAAGTTTGGGTTCGTTCGGTATTGGTTAGGCTTGAATGAGATGCTTGGTTTGATGTTGGAAGTTGAGGAACTTAAGAGATTGATCTTGATTGGCGATTCTTAGTTTTGAGTTTATTCGTGGTGTTTCGAGCCCTTGGACAAGTTTGGATTAGGTTTTGGAACATGTTGGCATGATTGGACGGGGTTCTGGGGGACTTTGGTGTGATTCGAGGTGGTTTTGGACCATTTTCCCTTGTCTTTGGTTTGCTGGTTTCTGGTGCAGAGAGTCTTCTTCGCGATTGCGGAGGGAGGCTCGCGATCACGGAGTAGAGGATTTGGCAAGCAAAGTTTTACCTTTCGCATTCGGGGGAGAGAGATCGCGTTCACGGATTGTTGGGATCTACTCGTTCGCATTTAGGAGTTGCGTTCGTGAAGGCGTGTGGTCGGGCAGGAGGATTGCCTTCACAATCGCGGGTGTGGCGCCGCGTTTGTGTAGGCTTAGCCGATGCAGGGTTGCGTTCGCGTGTATGCCCTCCTGTTCGCGAAGGGAAAGTTTTTAGCCGGGCGTTTTTGGCCTTCGCGATCGCAATGCGTATGTCTGGGCAGACTACTTAAATGGGAGTTTCGGGATTTTTCCACTTTATTATTTTTTGAGCCATAGATTTCGAGAGTGGGAGATTTTAAAGATCTATTTCACTACATCATTGGAGGTAAGCAATTGACACTTAGATTTGACTTTATATCAAAATGTTTCTAAGAATTTTTACACCTAAAAACTTGGACTTTAAAGTGTAATATAGGGGTTGATGTGCAAACTTTTGAATTCTTTCACTTCAATTCCCGCCACATTCAATTTTGATTACTCAATTTCTGTCCAAGAAATAAAGATTCACTCAAACATGAATACTGGGGTTGCTTATTGTGGCAGGTTTGAAATCATTTTGTAATACATAGTTAAAATAATCATCTACAAAAAATGGTAGTTTTATATGTTACCAAAATAAATGTGATTGTTCAAAAAATTTCACTAGGCGGTGAACTGATGGAACCTTAAACTCATGAACTTGTTTCATAGTGCAGATTGCCTCGTATCACCAAACATGAGACGGACTAACATTACACCTGTTGTTTCCAGTATGCTTGCTCCAAGAACAGCTTCCTCAATGAATTGAGTTCTCCAACGACATCACTAATCCTCTTTCTTTCTTTTGGAGATTCTACAGAGCAGGCAACTCCAATTTGAATCACCGAAACTAAGAATGATAGAAATAAGTCAGTGGCACTGTTTCTGTTGTTAACAAGTTTGTATTCCTTTCCTAGTTGGTCCCTTTCCTGGAGAAGAATGGGATCTGTTATATGTATCACTCTGTCTGGTAAAGAAGCCTTGGCATAGTTATGAAGATTTAAACTATCTTTGAACATTTCATCAGTTGGTCTCTTCCCAGTAAACATTTCCAAGAGCATTATTCCAAAGCTGTATAAATCTCCATAGATTGAGGCCTCACTTCCCATACCCAACTCTGAGATGCATTTACACGTCAACGAGAAATATTACAGAATTAGACTTACTTTTACCAAAGATAGAAGAATGCTTATATATGACAGCGGAAATCTTGATTTATGGCTAATGCAGAAAATAAGAAGACAAAATGTCAGTTGCATGATGAAAAAAAAGGGCAGCCCGGTGCACTAAGCTCCCTCTACGCACGGGGTTGGGGGAAGGGCCGGACCACAAGGATCTATTATACGCAGACTTACCCTACATTTCTGCAAGAGGTTATTTCCACGGCTCGAACCCGTGAGTGTAATAGTAGGTACGGTGAGTGTAATAACGGAGGAAAGGAAAAATATGGAATTTGCAAGGCGTATTACCTGGAGGTGTATACCCAATAGTTCCACCAACACCAGTAGAACTTTTTGGATTTGCTGAAGAGCTGTGAATAGCTGGTGGAATAAATCTTGCCAAACCAAAATCACCAACATGTCCAATCATGTTCTCATCGAGGAGAATATTGCTCGGCTTCAGATCACGGTGAATTATTGGGGGTTGGCAATCATTATGAAGATAATCCAGAGCACAGGCAACATCAATGGCAATGTTTAATCTTTGAAGAAATCCTAGCTTCTTGTGCTCATGTGTCTCCTGATCAGGCCTGAAATGCAACCACTCCTCCAGACTCCCCTTATCCATGTATTCGTAAACTATAGCTTTGAATTCATTACCTTCATAATCAATACTTGAGCATGCACTTAACACCTTTACAAGATTACGATGTCTTATATTCTTCAGAATCTCACACTCTGCTAAAAAACTCCTGGAAGCTGCATGGTGTGAAAGGTCCAGTACCTTAACAGCAAAAACTATACCATCGTCTTCAGAAATTCCTTTATATACAGACCCAAAAGCACCCATGCCCAGCAAATTTGATGCAGAGAATCCATCAGTTTCCCTGAGGAGACACTGATAAGATACTCTTATGGTCGAGTTTTCATGTGTATCTGTAACTGGTGCTTTTCTCGATCCACCTAACTGTCGAATGCCAAGAAAACAAACTATACATGTCAACCCTATAAGCCCACTGACTACTGGAATTACTATTTTCAAGGGGAAACCTGATTTCTTTTCTTTCTTTACTTCTGCACTGCAAGCCGGAAGGTCTAACTCTGGTATACCCCCACAGAGATTTTTATTTCCTTTAATAGAAACAATACTAACATTATTGAAGATACCTCCAATTGGGACTGCACCTTCCAAATTATTGCCAGACAGATCTACAACCTGCAGAAATTTGAAGTCTTTCAAGAATCTTGGGATTTCACCTGACAGATTATTGTGAGAAAGGACTAAAAGTTCCAGGCCGCGCAAATTATTCATCGTTGAAGGAATACTACCCTGAAAGTTGTTGTTGTTCAAGTCCAGTGCTTCAAGTTTCAGACAAGTACCTAGAGTGGTAGGAATTTGGCCTCGCAACTTGTTATCAGACAGGTTTAAGTAGCCTAGATTGCTCAACTTCCCGATTTCCTTCTGAAGGATCCCGGTTAAGTGGTTATGAGATAGGTCGAGGCCCTCTGACAAGGATGAAATTTCAAGAATTTCTGATGGTATGAAACCACTAATGTTATTTGAGCCAAGATCCAACAGTCCCAAATTGCGACACTTGCCTAAACTGGAAGGAATTCTCCCCTGGAGATTGTTTTCTCTTAAACTGAGTCTGGTTAAGGAAGCTAAATTTCCAAAAGAGATTGGAATTTGGCCTGACAACTGATTTCCAAGTAAAGCCAACTCCTGCAGGTTTATTAGATCCCCAATTTCAGATGGAATTTCACCATAGAATCTGTTATAAGCCCCAAATAAAGCCTCTACCTTCTTGAGATTGGATATCCCTCTTGGGAGTTTTCCAGAAATCTGATTATAAGACAGCGAAAGCTTTATTAGTTCAGACGAAAGATTACAAACAGATGCAGGTAAGACTCCACCAAAGTTATTTGTATTGAGCTCCAAAAGCTCCAAACTGGTGGCATTCACCAATGTGGTGAGAAAGCTGAGATCGTCATCCTCCCCCTTCCCGAGATGATTGTAAGCGACTAAAAATCTCCGCATGTTCAGCAGATTTCCAAGGGGCGGTACTTTTCCTGTGAGCCCATTTCTACCAGCAACAAGAAACTCAAGTTTTGTTGCGTTTGATAATGTTACTGGAATATTTCCAGTTATGTTGTTTCCACGAATGCTGAGGAACTGCAAATTCGGAAGAGTGATACCAAACAATGGAGGCAACTTCCCTTCTATATGATTTGTTCCAACATCAATGGCAACCATAGATGAATGATTGAAAATACAAGGAGGCAAGGTTCCACTCAGGTTGTTCTCGTTTACTACAAAGTACTTTAAGTTGGACAATTGGCATAATTCATCAGGTATTTTGCCTACCAAATTGTTCTTGCTTGCCGAAAAGTTATCAAGTGTAGAAAGATTACCAAGAGAAGGCGGAATACCTCCTGTAAAGTAGTTAGAAACAAGAAAAAGTTGTTGAAGTTTCAACAAGGTGCCTAATTCTGCTGGAATTATGCCTGCCAGCATATTATATGAAAGAACAACAGAAAAAAGGTTGAAGCAACCAGAAATGTTTGAAGGAATATGACCAGTGAATGAGTTATTGTCAAGGCGTAAAACCTGTAACTTATGTAAATAGCCAAGCTCTGATGGGATTTCACCTGAAAAGCTATTATTTTGGAGCTCAAGGACATGAAGAAAGCTCAGATTTCCAATACTTGGTGAAACTGTACCTCTCAGTTTCAGAGAACTAAGATCCAAAACAGTGACTCGTCTGTGACGACGACCACAGGAAACACCAGGCCAGTCACAGAAATGGATGGTTTCATTCCATGAGTCCATGATCCTCGAGGGATCGTCAACGATCATATTCTTGAACGCAAGCAGTGACATTCTGTCTGTTTCATTGCCTCCCACCTGAATTGTAGATGAGCAGAGAGCATAGGGTGGCAAAAAGAAGGCCAGTAAAGATAAAAAAACAGTATACTTGAGAACACACAAGTGACAAGAGTAGCTCAACTGAAAATTCTCTGTATGACTTGGAAGAATCATTTTTTTTTTTTTTAAATGTAGAACTGAAAAGTGGACTGGAGAATTGGTTAGAGAGAGTAAGATTGATTGCACAAAACACTAGTCTCATATTCTAATTTATTTCACCCATTTTGAATGTATGCATTGCAATGATATTTCATGACATTGACAATTGTGGTATTTCATGGAAGACTACAAAAATACAGAAAGGATAGACATTGACAGATTCACGTGCAAGACATTGTATTGGGTGATACCCTTTTTTGTTTGAGCCCGACCGGGTTGGGTCCGGTCCGGGGCAAGTCGGGGCCATCGAACCCGACCTGGATGCAAGGTAGAACGACGGCCACGTCTACAACCGAGGTCGAGTCATTTCGAGACCGTTGCAGAGCTCGATATGAGTCACCACCGGATGGAGAAACACACAAGGTCGGAAGCCGGACTCGTAACGGATAACCAAGCGTCGCCGGATATCTCGCCCAAACGTGATTTTCTCAACCACTTCAGGCCATTAAGGCGTAATTACAGGGATCCACGATGTAATTAATTTACCTACCTTATTTTTACCCTTAATCGGAATGTATAAAAGGGGAGAAGACCCCATAAGGAGGGGACCGGAAAAAAACCATTACACTACAGTACCATCTCTCTAAATTCTTGTACGCTATCAAGCACAATTGTTCTAAGCAATATTATATTCTGCGATTATTTACTTTAACAGCAATTGTTGAGTCTTTATCTTTATTTTCCTCAACCTAAACCTTTTGTATCTTTTAGTTCACGGATCCTTAAAACCCCATATAAATTCAATTGTTATCCGGATTCTAGGGTAAACAGACATATTCAATTTATAATGTTCGTCCTTTCTCTAACCTCCGCCAAACTGGATCGTTCAGTTCAATTTGAATTGATTTTCTTGCCTTGTCATACTTGTAATTTTGTATAATAGTGTATGTCATGTTTCCTAATGTTATATATTCCTGTTATTCTGATATAAGCAAATTAAAATTCTCTAAAGCATGAGCTAAAGTGAAAATATAAAGTATTCCGAGAAGACTAATTGAGTAGGTCAATGGTTAGTTTGGTAAGACGTCGTACGTCTAACATTTGGACACACTCACATCTGGTAGTAGCTAGCAACGTATGGTGTGAAAATTTGGGAAAATATTTCAAATGTGTGGGGACTAATTAGTAACATGAACTCAATGCGCTTTGTTGTTCTCCACATCTTAAGAGTCTACAAATTTGTGGTCATTCAAAAATCAAAAATTGCAACTCGTGTAGTACTTGCCTTGCATCTTCACACCAACTTCGTGGAAATTTGATCCCATTCATTTAGAGCAGTGATTACTTTTTATGCGTTCGCTTTTCTAAGGGATCATATGTCATTACCCATTGGGAGTGTTTCACGCACTCTCAAATTATATGGGAATCTTAATGACTTTTTTGTCTTTGTTCCAAGTGTTATATGTATTACCTTTTGAGCGGACGTGGCGTCCGAATTGTTTTTCATGAAATCTTAGCGCGTGAAATTAGAAAAAAAAAAAAAAACCTCAACTCTGTTTATTTTATCATTTTACTTTTTTTTTTTTTTAATGTCCTTTTACTTTTTCTTCTATGTCTTCACTTCACCTTTCTTCTTAGTTAACAAAAGAATACCGAGTAGTTAAAGCCTGAACTAAGAAGCCATATTAAATAACAAAGAGAACCCAATGCTAAAGACCACCAAATTAGCAATAATTCAATAAAAGAAAATTGTCAAGCAGGGACATATAAAACTGAGGAAGAGAATATATTTGGAACAAAAATGATAGTTGCCATTTCTCCGATGACTATCTCGTCGGAGTTTTCTACCTTCGCATTTTTTGTTAAAAAATCCTTCCATTCCATCCTAAAAATCATCTTTAATACACTTTTTCTCTTCTTTTCTTTTTCTCTTTCTTTTTCTTCTTTTTTTTCTTATTTATCTTTTCAAACAATATTTCTCACAAGAAAAACTAGTGATTTTTGCGACACATTAAATAATGAGGAATATTTAATATAAAAAAGAAGATGAAGAAAAGAGCATAGAGGTGAGATGGAACAGGAAAAAAAGTAGAAGAAGCCATAAATAAAGAAATTTGAAATTAATAAACCAAACAGAAGAAATAATCAGTTGGGGGAAGGGAGCTGGGGAGCTGCTGGGACGAAGAACGAGACTTGTGGGTGGTTGGGAGATGAAGAAAAGAAAAATAAAATAAAAATAGAAGGAAGATAAAATTATAATATATAAAAAGAAATTGTATGGTATAAAAAATACGAGTCAAAATATGATTGGTGTGTGTCATATACCGTTTTGACTGAGACTGGTATTGAAACAAAGCCAGGGGTCATAGGACCCACGTAAAATACAAGGATGGAACTCGTAAAGTGGATAAGCCTAATGGGGTAATTATGTATTATCCTTTTCTAAATAAATGTTTCCTTTACTCGGCCGTGAGCCCCATTAAGAAAATTGTTATCCACTAATTGATTTCAATTTTTTTACTTTTTGTTAATAATAAAAAGTTAGGTTAAAGGTTTGGTAAACTGAGCTAAACAAAGAACCACAGACAAATTAGACAAAACAGACAAAAGAAGAAAGAAAAACAAAGTGGAATTTCTACGCTTTCTTTGAGAAGACTTGGAACAACGGACAATGTGCGATGCTGAGTTTAATGAAGTTTTGTGATGAATTTTCCGGTTTCAGTAATTCTCCAAAACTAAGTGGTGTTGGCCCAAGTAAAGGTTTGTTTTGAAGATTGACAAATGAAGCTCATACATGAACCAGGTCCATCCCTTGTGAACATAGACACGGGCAGATTCGAGCATATGGGATGTACGTGAAGGCGATTAGTTTAACTTGGTATATTTGATATCTCTTGATCGAAAAGGTTGCATAATTGATAAGGAGAAGGACTCCTTACTCAAAGAGAACACTATCCAAAATAAGGAAGGAGTTAGAGGTTGAAGTTAACTAGAACTCTTCTACCAAGAAAGAGTAGCATTAGAACTCTAGTTATTTTCTACTCTACTAACTCTATAAATCGCAGGATGTTCTCAATTTACAGGTTACACGCAAAAGCAGAAGTTAAACATGAATTGAGAGCAAAATAGCAAGGCATTTTGCAAGCAGTTCGTGTGTGATTGAAGTGTGCAAACCTGAAGCTACATGAACCAGATAGAAGAACCAGTTCCAAGTGTCTGTCTTTTATTCTAGTTCAATTGTAGTAAGTGTTTTCATATTGTACCTTTTAGCTTTATCTAGAGGCAACTGTAATAGGTACTTTGAGTATTTTAGTTAGAGTTAACTTGAAGTTGCCACAACAGTTAGAGGCTGGTTGCCATAACGGGATTAGTGGTAATCCTTAGGTTTACAAAGAGTTTTTGTAAATGCTATTTTGGCTCATTGATTTAGTGGAGTGTTGGAAAAATTCCTACTGAGTAGTAGGCCATGGATTTTTCACCTTTTGAGCCCGGTATTTTCCACGTAAAAATACTTGTGTTTTTTACTTTTTGCATTTATTATTTCTGCAACAGTTGATTAAGGAACACATAGAAGAACCAGGCCCTTCTATAATCTGTGCATGTGAAAATTGGACACCACACAAATCATCCCCTCCCCCTCCTCTTGTGTGGCATTGAAGTATAAAATATCAATTGGTATCAGAACGGGTTATCCTTGAAGAGGCTAACACCTTAGGAACAGATCAACATGAGTGCACCACTTGGAAACTGGGAAGGGCAATCCACTGCTAGGCCACCACTCTTTAATGTCCAGTGCTACTCTTGGTGGAAAAACAGGATGAGATATCACATCATCGGAGAGGACTATGAGCTATGAGACATTGTCACCGATGGTCTATTGGCTACCTTGAAGAAAAATGTTGAAGGAGTAGATGTGCCAAAGACAAGAGCTGACTGCACTGCTGAAGACCTGAGGAAATGGGAGGAAAATGCCAAAGCCAAGAAATGGCTTGTTTGTGGACTTGGTCTAGATGAGTACAGTAGAATTCAAAGTTGTACCACTGCTAAGGAAATATGAGATCTGCAAGTGGCCCATGAAGGAACACCTCAAGTGAAGAGGTCTAGAGGAACTCTATCGTATTCCCAATATGAGAACTTTACCATGAATGATTATTCCTGAAGAAGACAGAATTGAGAAGATTTTGACAAGGGTTCTGCCTGTTACTTGGGAAAGCAAAATCACTGCCATTCAGGAATCAAAGAACATTTTCTCCCTCCCATTGAACGAGTTGATTGGAAATCTTACTACTTATGAACTTAGGAGGCAAATCATGAAGATGGATGTACCTAAGAAGGAAAGAAGTATGGCACTCAGAATCACTGAAGGTTTTGATTCAGAAGATGATGAAATGGCTATAATCACAAAGGAATTCAAGAAGTACCTAAGGAGAGTAAAGGGTCCTTCAAAAGGTGAAAGCTATAGCAAGCCCAAGGTTCCTAAAAAGCAAACCAATGAAGGGTGCTACAAGTGTGGGAAGACTGATCACCACATCAAGAACTGCCCTCAATGGGAAATGGAATGGAAGAAAGAAAGAGCTGAACGAAGGAACAAGAAGAAGGAACAAGTTCAACCCAAGAAAAATAAAGGATCAACAAAGGCTATGGTTGCAGCTTGAGGAGAAAGTTCAGATGAAAGCTCAGATGATGAAGATGGGGATGAACAAGCACTTATGGACATTAGAGAATCTGATGAGGAAACTGAGGTCCAAATGAAAGAGAGCAGCCAAATATGGTATATGGATAGCGACTGCTCAAAGCATATGACAGGTCGCAAGAACCAGTTCCTTTCACTTAAGGACCTTAAAGGAGGTAATGTCTCCTTTGAAAATGGAAGAAAGGTGAGATCATTGGGGTTGGCAAAGTAGGTAAGAATGACTCTCACTCTATTGAGAATGTCTACCTGATTGATGGACCAAAATACAGTCTAATAAGTGTATCAGAATTGTGTGATAGAGGTAACATGGTTGCATTCACCTCTAGAAAATGCTTTGTGATTAATCTTATCACAGACAAGATTGTTTTGCAGGAAAAAAGAGTGAACAATATATATTTTGGATCTGTCCAC